AGAGGCCATGCTGCACACATTGTTGTTTGGACTCTCATCTATTTGTTGTTCTTGTTATTTTGTGGCCTCTTTCGCCTAGTGGCTTTATTGATTTAATATTTATGCTGAATAAAGTCAACCAGTATTGCTTAAGCACACCAGCCCCCACCCTGCCCCCCAATACGTGGTTTTACACCTGCCCTCGAAAGATATATTAGACTATATTTGAAAAGCCATTTTGTGGTTGAGTTGTTTATCCCATATTAGGCTACCCCCACAACCCCCCGTGTAATATTCTGCGACCGCCCACCCAGCCCTGCTACTGAGCGCATGGGAGAGATGGCGGGGCAGGTGGGGGGGGGGGCAGATGTGATGCAAGGATCACTCTGAATACACATTAGGGCTTTGGCCACGAGCACCCCCTGGCATGTGGAGAAAGGAGGAAGAGGAGAGACAAAGAGGAAGGAGGGAGAAGAAAGACAGAGAGGAAGGAGGGAGCGTCGGAGAGAGGGGAAGCAGAGTGCAGCCGAGCCATTTTGGGCAAAATGAAACAGAGAAACTTAAGTCGCTATGACGTGCAAGAATTTGCGACAGATTTTCATGCATTCTAGCCCCATGGGGAGGGGGCGGGGGTTCTTGAGGGAGGGGCTTGCTTTGGCAAGGGATCTAGCTGCTAAAGTGGGGGGTTAAGATGTTTAAAATGTGCAAATTGTGCGTCTGGCCCTGGGCGGTCCCCCAACCAGCTTCCCGGCTGTGCCGGGGGGGGGGCTGGAAGGCCCTACCTCCTTTTATTGTGTGTTATTAAAAGGGGGCTTAATGATGACACATTAACATAATTCGCCTGTCACGGGAACTATGGGCTCTGCCAAATGGGGTCGATGGTGGGGACTCTGAACTCGACCTCGGCTGCTACTGGTGGCGGTGGAATGGGGGGGCGGGGGGGAGACCAGAAGCACTCTGATTCCACTTCCCTCCCTCCATGAAGGCAGAGGCGTCCCTTCCAGTCGGCACTTTATTTCATCATCACAGTTCAGTTGTGTGGCGTTTCAGGTGCTGGGGCGGGGGGGTGTAAATGTGGATACAAATGCGAGATATATGAGTGTAATCCATTTTCCAGGGGGATGCCTATTTCTCGGTAACAGTTTGCGATGGGAATGAGATCAGAGTGTGAGTACACTGTGTTTTCAGCGAGCCGCCCCTGTAAATCATTTTATTGGATGCCACACACTGTATAAAGAACCGGGAAGTAAACGGATGCCGGCCTTCCGAAGGCCTTTTTTTTCCCTCCTTTTTCTGTTCATTCCCAACCGCCCATTTTAATTTCGTGACTTGCCTCTGACCATCCTCACTCTATGCCGCCACCTCGGCCCCCCTGCCGGGACTCAGTGCTGCTGCCCTGACAGAGAGACCTCGTCACTCTGTGCTTAGTCCTTCCCGGAAGATCGAATCCTACCAGAAAACACAAGTCCCAACCAGAAGATCAGGTCTTACCAGGATTGGCAAAATCTACCCAGAAGTGCAAGTCCTCCTTCGAAGATCAAGTCCTACCTAGAAAAGCAAGATCTACCTAGTCTTACTGGGAAGACTTGGCCAGCAGATTTCCATGACTGGGAGAAGGGAATGACCATCCCTGTAGGTGATGGCTTTCCCCGTGAGGCTGTCTGGGATGGGCCTACAGTGAAATGAACACACTCCTTTGCACTGTTGGCAGACTGAATACGCACACTGAGGCCTGATCCTTAAGCCGAGCAGGACTGAGCTTAGAGAAGATTCTGTGTGCGGGATTATCAGCGGCACTGAATGGCAGCACCGATAAGTGCTGGGAAGCGGGAGATGAGGTCTCAGGTAATCACAGGCGTCGAGCGTCTCTGTCACGGAAGTGCCCCCGTCCTTCTTCTGTGGCGGTGAGCCGAGGAGGGCGGTCCGCCTGGGTAGGATGACAGGCTCATCCCCCGGAACGCTGGCTGTGGTTCCTCTCTGACCTGAGTTTTCGGGCTTGGGACTGCTGTTGATTCCCCATTTCCCATTAATAATGCTTCTTGTGACGTCCCACTGATTTTAATCTTTTGCCCTCCTAAGAGGTCTATTTCGGCAGTCGCTGGGAGCCTAACATCCTCTTACGGAAAAAAAATTATCCTGTTTTAAGGCCGGCCTTGCCATGGCTTACCCATTTGCTTACCGATGTTTGTCGCTGGCTTGCTCAGCTGCCTCTGCAGCTGGAGCAAACCGTCTTCAACAACGAAGATGTTTATTGCAGAGGTGAAGAACTGGACCGATTAGTGAAATCACCAGAGCAGACTTTTGTTTTAGAGCTCCGCCCCTTTGACCTCATTGGTTCTGGCCCATGCTGATCTTCCAGTTTTGGCCAGGTGGCAGACTGTCGACAGCTCACAGTTTTGGCCTGTCTTTCTTTTCTGAGAGGCTCGATTTGTTCATGGACTGACCTGGTCGGCCTAAGCAGGAAATCACATTTCTTCTCTATTCTTATTTGCATTAAAGAGCTTCATTTCACAAAGCACCTTATAATAATTTTTATTCTGCCCACACACAGACCTAATCTATAATCGTACATCTATGCATTTAATGTGTATTCTGTTTGAGGGGGTTGTGAGAATGTGATTTAATGTAATGCTCTTTTTTTGGGCCACTCTGAAAGTAATAGAATGCCCTCATGTTCTGAACAAGTACGTGGAATCGGGACCGGAGCCGACAGATGAGAATATGAATAGAGAGTCGCTCACGAGCCGTGATACTTCATGTCGCTGCGGCAGTGGTGCTGCAGGTGGGTGTGGGGGTGGCGGACGTCGGCGCGAGTCCCCAGAGAGCTGCAGTTTCTGTGCTGTTTTCTGCCACCATTGCTGTGCAGATGTAGCAGCAAGGCGCTGGCCTGGAGGCATGCGTAAGGGCGGTAATTAATGCGGCATCTCCGCGCGGGCGGGCGGGCGCACAGATCCGGCAGCCGCCTTAATGATGCATGCGAGCGGCCTGCACGTTTTTTGGTCTCTCTGGCAGGGGGTGCTGTTCCTTATCCCGACACTCACGGGGAACTTTGAAGTGCTGTGTTCTGTCTCTGCGTTACACCCGCACTGCCTTCAGACGTGGAATTGAACAGAATCCATTCCACCTCGCTCTGAACCGGAAGTCCGAATCTTCTGAGGACTGAGCAGCGACCTCTGTTTGGGGATCAGTCCTGTCCTTGTTGCTTTCGGGAGTGTGAGGTTTGTGGACCTGCGATTAATCTGCTGCTACTTTATTCCTGGGTTTTGGTTACATTCACGGTTCTGGTCTGGCCTTTGTGTCCTTTGTAGGCCATCATATTGCTTCAGCTTTGTGCCAGTTGCCTTGTCTCCCGGTTTTCATGCCCTGCTTCCCGCTCTTGTGTTTCTGATCCCCTGCTCTGCACACCATGAACTGAACCTGTCTGTCATTTGCCATATTCCTTTGATTTATGGTCCAGCAGTCTGTGTGACCTTCGGGCGGGAGACCTGATATTAAGACTAGGCAGCCCAATGCGACGTGCTCCGTTCTGCACTCTCTGTGGGCACATGTGTTTTCTCAGCCATAGGTTCCAGCCTGGGACACGCTCACACACGCACACTCACATGCTCACACTCACACGCTCACACACACACACACGCACACTCACACGCTCACACTCACACGCTCACACTCACGTACGCTCACGCACACTCACACGCTCACACACACGCACACGCTCACTCACACGCTCACGCTCACGCACACTCACACGCTCACACACACGCACGCTCACTCACACGCTCACGCACACTCACACGCTCACACACACACACTCACACAAAGTGCTCATGGCCTGTTTCATTAGCCAGGCCCATGTTTTTTATTGGGATGCTTTGGGGGGTGTAAAATAACGAAAGAAAGTGAAGCAAAAAACAATGAAAGCAGTCTACCG